TAGGAGTTAGAAAATATATAAGAGAAATGTATGTATGCATGGCCATTTCACTTGACTTCTTAAAAGCTGCAAAATTAGAGGCCAGCGTCCAGGAAAGGAATGTGGTGCCTGGCACTTCAAGAGGCCTTAAGATACGGTACCAGGCACCAGGCACCTTATCATAAATTTGACTAATGAAGTGTCCATTAAGAGGTTTCAGGAATGTTATCTCAGGATGGATGGAGCAGGTCCAGAGACATCCTGGCGCTGGAAGTGCATTAATAGCCACTCTTTAGATAGTACACTAATGAAGATTGACAACTTGTTGATTTTGAAAATATGCTATTGAAGTCAGTGAAATAGTAGAGGTTTGTGACGCACATTGTGATGTTTCTATGATGCATGAATACTTATTTCAAAAAAGGTTTATAAACTCAGCATTTCCTTTGTTCGGTACCCTTCTTTCCTGGTTTACCAGGGGGTATATCCGGTTGGCGCCAACCGAGAATAAAGCGGGCTTTCCAGTACTCTCTTTGTCTTATTTCCTCAAACCTTCACTCTGCCCTAACAATCAAATAAACCAACTACACGTGGTTTATTTTCCATTATGCCACACCATCACCATAATCTTTATTCAAAGGCTGCTTCCTCATGCCCATTTCCAGAAATCTACAAATCATGGCAAACTTTCAATGGAATGGAAGGGACCCATCCAAACATTTCACATTTATTGTTGCTTTGTGCCTTCAAGCCAACACTGACCCTTAGATGGCTTTTTTGGGCCGGATTCATCCGGTGGAAGATTGCCATCTGCCTTCTGTTGTGGCTGAGAGAGTGGCACTCGTGTAAGGAGGTCTCATAGCTTTTCTATGTACCCAAACCATGTTGGGGCTCAATATATATTCAGGGACCAGATTCCCATGGCCCACAATGGAGCCTTACACGACCCCCAAACCCAACTTAAGCTAACCGCTGCTCTGTATTGTTGAAGGCTTTCATGGCTGGAATCACTTGGTTGTTGTAGGTTTTTCAGGCTATATGGCCATGTTCTAGAAGCATTA